TATATATATATATATATATATATATATGTGTGTGTGTGTGTGTGTGTGTGTGTGTGTGTGTGTGTATGTATGTATGTATAAACCCACTTAGAGGTGCTCCTCTGTTCCTAATGCTAGTAACTGCTAATGCTACTACACGACATAGCACTGTTCATTAACGCTACTCCAGATGGCCCTGTTGAAATATTAACGCGCTATTAACGGATATTTTAATATTTTAATAGACCTGCGTACGTCAGGGAGAAAATATGAGCAAAATGAATATTTTTTGGTTACATTTAGCCTCAGTGTACGTCAGCCTTATTTAAAAAAAAAAAAAAAGCCATTGACGCTGGTTTGTGAACAGGCGTGTTTTGGACAGACTTAAGGACGCAAACATGGCGGCCTCCTTACGGCTAGGACATCGAGCCGTTTTAACGGGTTTGAGGTTTATTCCGTTTCAAAAATGCCCTCATGTAAGTCAGAACTCGTCCAGGCAACTGTTTCAGTCTGCATATTTATTAGGTAAGTGTGTTTCCTCTGTTCTGAACTGCTTTTCGCTAGCTTGTTAGTCTACAGTAGATTAATGCTAGGTGTGTCTGCTAGCTAGCAGGCTTGTTAGTTATGAAGATAGTTGGCTGGGAAGTGTATGCAGATATGCATTGTTAGTTTTCGAAAGGTTTTGGCTACACGGTTGGAGAGTAATGTCTGTAATGTACATGAGTATACTGTATATACACTAGCTGTGTACACACTCGTGTCAGTCATTGGAGGTCATTTAAGTTAGCAAGCTGTCTGTGTAGCTTGAATGGCATTGGTGCAGCTGTCAAACCCAAAGCTGTCAGTCAGGTTAGTTAGCAGATTCAGATGTTAATCTTCATTTAATCTGATGCTTTTTCCTTGCTGCAGGATGCCCATTCCAGCACTGCAGTGTTACATACTTATCTTGCTTAAACACCTCTTTCAGTTAAAGCATTCTTTCTTAAGAGCCTGATGATCTGAGTCATGTGTGACAGCAGGCAGGACTGCCTGATATTTCAGACTGGAACTGATCAACAATCTTCTAATGATGTTTCAAACGTCTGTAATGCTGCTTCAGATGAACAGCTAAAGTACAGCTAATGTGCCGCTGAAATCAAAATGGATGTTTCAGAGCTTTTTGCACCTGTACCATAGTGTAATGGACATCAGCGCAGTAGTATAGAGACAATATATGTATAACACACACATTTGGGCACCAAAAAAAAAAAAAAATTGGGCCAAGCTTAAAATGGCAAAATATTAAGCTTTGAATGGTCTTAACAACAAATCAGTTCAGAAAATTAAACAAATAGACAAAGGAAGTTAGTATAGGATAGCTTTTCCCTTAGATTTCTTTAAACGTTTAAGCCTTGTGGCACTTAATGGCCCTTATTTGGCAGATACCCAAATAATGACTAATCTTTAAAAAAAAAAAAAAAAAAATCCCAGGAGATATTTTTTGGAAAATCAAACAGTTTAATCATTATCATGATTTTACCTTTTACCTGTTTCTAGCTTTTCCCCAAACAGTTCACTGCAGCAAAAGCAAACGAGTAAACGGTGGCACAGGAGGTCTCAGGAGTGCATTTCTTTAAGTCTTGCTAATTTCCTGAACAATGATTTGTTGTTAAGACCATTCAAAGCTTAATATTTTGCCTTTTTTTTGTTTTTGTTATATATGAAATTAGTTTTGGAGATTTTATTTTCTCATTTTAAATTCGTAGTTTGTATTTTGTTGATTATGAATATGTTTATATGTATAGTTAATTATGTATATGTCCCGCCCCATGGGTCTTGTTGTACAATAGCAGTTTGTAAGCGGGGAACATGGATTGCCTGTACATTTTTGGCTGTGTGTTTCCCCGCACACTATATTCCCTTTTCCAGTCATTTCTTGGTTGAGAAAAATAGGAGTTTATTCATTTTGTGGAGTTTATTCATTTTGAAGAGGGTGAATTTAGTGTAAGTTTGAGGTTATGTGACAGCCTCTGCACTTTTCAGAGGAGGTGTTTTACCAACTTGGGGCATTTCAATGCCGGAATGTCTTTATACATTGTCAGGGCTTCCGTAAGTATTATCATTTTCTCAAGTACCCTAACCCTTCAGCTATAAGCCGACTCTCCTCGCTAGTGTCTTTTTATACATGGCTCTCAGAGCTAATACAGCAGACTGGATATATTGCACTGATAAAACAACAAGAAGAAGAGCCTCGGTTGCTCTGATCAGTTTGTCTGTAGCAATCTGCTAGCTGTAATTACAAAACCATTCACACTTCGCTCACTTGGTTTATGTGCCGTTCAGCACATAACACATGGACTGAGCTAGAATTTGGCACGCCTCAAGCGTGACGCTAATGTGGCCAGTGTGGACTGAAATGATTTTTAAACTGGAAGTCTTGACTCAATGAGTGACATGACACTACACTCGACACATATGAAGTTAAAATTTACAACCTAACATTAAAGCTCTATTTACGTGAGGCGCGGATAATAAATAAAATTTGTAAAATTAGTCAAGAGTGTCACTGATCTGCCATAAAATACTCATAAAAATCTTATTTCACAAATTATTAAATGTATCATTTTTAATCTCCTAAAGTCTTAGCCTATTATTTAGTTATTTGTCTTACTATGTATGATTTGGTAACTACTGTCAGTTATTCAGTAACTACAGAGAAAGTAATAGGAAAAGGCATGTAGTTGTAGTAGGAAGAAATGTATGTCGTCTGGATCCATGGACGAGTCATGGAACTTTAAGGGTGTATCAATTCAGAGAAAGGTCATATGAAAATTATCACTATCACAAATCACAGAACATCATCATATAATATCGAACACAAATCCTATTGATGAGTGATTTGTGGATGTACTGTTAAATCATGTCTGATAATTTATTATGGTGAAAGTGTGTAGGTACTTCAGCTTGACATGCTGGCTTCACATAAGGTGCTTGTGAAGTATTTGAACTCTACCTTGAAAGTCTTGCAGTTTCTTTTTCTGTATGTACTCTGCGTGTAGATTGATAAGATATCATGGATGATGAGCACGTAATCGGCGCTAAATCTTGATTGTTATCCATCTCTACTGATGGATAACAGTAGAGAGGCGTAATCTGGAAGTATGAGATATGCTTTGGCTATCATTTTTTATTTTTTATTTTTTAATTTATGCATTTTAATGAAAGGGTATCGCTATACTAATTTTTAGATGCTGCCCATCTGTAGGTGCAATAGAGATGATCCTTGGCTTAAACCCACTGGTGTTTGTGTGTTTTTAAGTGCTTCACAGTCTCTCATAATGGACTCTGAGGCACTAAGGCTTTACTGCTCCTGTTTGATGGATATCACAAGGAACAGAAGGTTTATTATAGCTATTACTTAATAATATTAAGTGGGTCCCTGGAGGACTAGTGGTTAGGCCACGGCGCTCTCTCACTGCTGCGGCCCGGGTTTGATTCCCAGCCAGAGAACCGACCCCAGCCACTGGGGTTGCGTGCAAAAGTGTGCTCTCAGTGCTGGTCCCAAGTCCGTATGAAACTGGGGAGGGTTGCGTCAGGAAGAGCATCCAGCATAAAAACCGTGCCAAGTCAAATACACGGACCAATAATCCGCTGTGGCGACCCCTCACGGGAGCAGCCGAAAGAGGAACAACAACTTAATAATATTACTTAATATTATTATTACTATTACAGACCAAAAAGCTGTTGATGCTGATGCAGTGCATTTGACTCGCTATAAGATTGTGCTTTCCGTTCAATCAAAACTAAAAGCGCAACACTTTCCGCCGTTCCGTATCAGTTATAAACAGTGTTGTTATATGACAGACCTGTGCATTCTGCTGCTCACAGACTCACTCCAACACATTTCTATTTTTAAAGGCCAGTGTAAGGCTGCATAAACTCACAAGCCTCATGCAGCCGACATCATTCCAGGTTTGTCTGCTGTGGGTGTGTAGTGAAGGCTGATGTGTCCAGTTCAGATTTAAAAAAAAAAAAAAAATGCTAGTAGTGTGAATGCAGGGGTGGACAACTCAGTAGTCCAGGCAGATTTTGGGTCTGAGTGCTTACTTTTTATTCATAGTTGCCTGGTAGAGAAGCAGGCTCAACAACCAAAAAAAGGGAAACTTTTTTTATTTGTATGTTAAACCTTTATGGGCTTCATGGCGTTAAGGCAGATTATTTAGTGTGTATGGATAACAGACAATGATTTCAGAAACAGGAGCACCGTATGTGGACACATTAAGGAAACTGAGCAAGTCCAGCGTAAAAAGCTGTCGTATAACGAAGTCACCACACGGTTAAATATGTTGAGAAAATAAAGAAGCTAGCCAGACTTGAATATCTTTTCTGTGGAATGTGAGGACAGAAAACAAAAGGTTATAGAGTTAAAGAGTTTTTTCTGAGGCTGCAAACATGATGTGCTAAATGGTGATATGCTGCTTTTGACTAAAGATATAAATAATAATAAGAAGAAGAAGAAGAAGAAGAAGAAGAATTTCCGACCTCCGACTAGGAAAAACTAAAGAACCTCAACTTAGAATTCCTACTAGGAAAAGTGGGAAGGTTTCCTCAGCCCCCGAGTTCAGCGTACATCATCATGTCAACATGACCACTCATACCATCCACAGTAAATAAAATATTACTAATAAACTAATAAACTAATGAGTTTAAACTAGTATTTATTTTAAATCAATAAACATAAACACATTAGTTGGTTAAATCTGCAGCACTGTGACCATACAGTTTGTTCTTTTGAAAAAAGTAAATACAAAAGAAAAACACACACACACACACACACTTTAATGGTGGTGTCCATGTTTTTTTTCCTTCTTTGTAGCGTAAACACATCAAGCTTGAAAATTATATAATTACATGTTCAGACTTCCCACCTCTTTTCAGGTAGAAACCAAAACACAGGACTGGGCAGCACATTGGAACGTCCTCTTGCCTGGTGGGCTGGCTAATAATTTCTGATTTTTCCACCTGTGCAATTTATAATTTCTCTATACCACTTTGTTGCTTTTGGTATTTTAATATTGTAATATAGTAAAAAGTTGAAACCATGTTTGTACATTTTCCTCTGTTATTGTGTAACAAACACTTTAAAAAAAAAAAAAGAAAGAAAAAAAGAAGAGTCTGGCCTTTAATAATCGTATATTTATCTCAGACAGTAAGTAGATTATATATACTAAAACCTAAATCTTCAGATCTTGCTTGTGTTCTAGTTGAAAAGACTAGTTTTCTGTAATTTATGTAATATTTTTATTTGGTGGCTCATCAGAGTTTTCTCCAAAATATTTCGTTCAGATGACTTTACTGACATAATTCCCCTTATCAGCAGTTAGAACAAATTTAACATTACTACATGCACTCTTTTATTTCATAAAGTGTTTAGTATGTTATGTGTATAAATATTAGTGACGTTAAATAGCCATCGCATGGGCTTAATGTTATTTTCAGGCTCATCAAAAATTCATAAATAACCACTGGGTCCTTGTGCTTGGGTGTGTCCAGGAAGAGCACTCTGTATGTGGCACTAATCATTTTAACACCACTTTTCAGGTTTTTTTGTATCCTACATTTTTAAGGTTAAAGAAAGAGGCCATATTAGTTTGCCCACTAGATGGCGGCAGTAGACTCGGACATGCAGTGCCTGTGGGATTGTTAACCATAAGCATGCTGAACTGTAGTGTTTTAGTAGCTGCCTGGAAATTGCTCTCTTATTCATCACTATTATCACTGAGGTGCTCTTAAATGTATCAACTGTAATTACTATATATCCTGTAATATGTGGCGTCTTCTAGTCTCCATTTTTCTCCCCTTAAAACTAAACAAACTGGTTTGTAAAGAGTATAGCCCAGTCATTCTGACATCCCTGTCTTGGTTACGAAATGTGCAAGACAGTCTCAAACTCATGTTTCATCTTATTACAATGAATCCATTTAAATGAAGGGAAAGAAGAAAAGCGCATGTCTAGACCTTTAAGCTGTGTCAGACGTGTTGTGTGAGCCAGATGGGTTTGCGTGTGTGTGTGTGTGTGTGTGTGTGTGTGTGTGTGTGTTAAGGAGAGTTTTTGACAGCAAAGATGAAGAAATATGAAACCTGCAGTGCTTGAGTGTTTACAAATGGAACAGCGCATCTAGAAAATCTGACTACTGACTACAACTACCAACGATAAAATACTACAATTTATTGATTATGAAGTATCAAAACCTACATGTACTCATTACTAGATCTAGTGTAGATCCAGCGTTGCCTCAAAATCTGTTGGCATTGCTGTTTAGTGATAGGAAAACAAAATGTTACCTGCTGTTACCTCACTTTATAATACAACACTTTATAATGTACAGTTTATGCTGGCTTAACTGCTGCTAAAATGTTATTTTACACATGTGGATTAATCCACAATCATAAATGTCACGACAATGATTGTTATTATATAATGACGTTGTGTAGCTACCTTCAGTTGAGTAGTGCTATGATTAATAAAGCTTACAATATCACCATCGTATAGGCTTGTGCGATATGATGATTTAATCAACAACTTAAGCAACACCACCTGGAAGCTCCGCCCCCTTTGCTTCATCGCCACCAAAATATTTCAGCTATAAATGGTCACAAAAACAGCATTTTCGTTTTTCAGCATTTTCGTTTTTATACTTACAAAGAGGAAATAGACCTACAAGAAAGTGTTGAATCTAACATTTTATAAATAATGTTAATGGCGATGATAAAAAAATCCTGCACAACTCAGCACTCAAGCACATTCAGACACTTTGAGCAGCAGAAGTTCAACAGCCATACTGATATCAGCCATATGAACATTAGACAACTGATTTGTAAAAGGATTATATATGCTTTTTTTTTTTTTTTTACTATTTACTGCATATTACTGTGGACTCACCTAAAAATCCACCATCCAGCTGAGATTTGTCTCTGCCAACAAGCAGTTCCCGACTGCACAGCTGATATTACGCCCTCCTGTACTCTCCTTAAACCTGAAGTGGTGGACTTGCTTTTTTCCTGTCATCACGTGTGGACAAGTAAATCATTTATTTTTAAAAATGATAAATCACGAGTCTGATAAAGCTGCTATACATATAGCTAAATGTACAGTATCTTACTTTTAAGTATAGCCTATGCATTCTCCCTGAAACACAAAGCACAAAACTTATCAATAAGAGACTTTGCAGGTCAGTAGGCTAAATAAGGAATAACACACAACAGGCCATGCTGTTACAGGAAAATAATCCATGTTGGATTTTGCCTTGGGCCGCTTTCACTCTGGAGTGGATAATTTTCTGCACAGCCTGATGGGCTATATCTCTTATACCTCAGCAATTTGTCTACGATTATTAAATTAGAATTTATTAATGAGCGACACATCACACTATTTAACCATTTATAGTTACATTTAATGTTATGGACATTCTTAGGACAAGTTAGCACCTGTAATCACATGTGTTATAGTGGCTGTAAACATTGCTCCCAGCTTATCATGTTACCAAGAAAGCAGCATGTGAAAAATCCTGTGTCCTGAAGACTTTGCTGCGGTGGAAAATGTACTGATCTGCTACAGAGCACTGATACTGGAGACTCCTTCCATAAACAAACATCTCCTTGCAGAAATCTTCACCATATCAACAATTGTATGTTTTTCTTTGTTAGATAACAGGTTTTGTTATGGGTTCACGTGAATAGTTTTGGGTTAATTCTCATTTATATGTTGGTTCTTAGGAGTTTTTGTGAATATTTACGGATTAACACCTTGTTTTTGTTCTTGTTTAGCTCTTGCTTGGACAAAAAGCTAATCATGGTGCACAGGGTTCTAGGTGTTAATGACCTCCGTATAGTCCACTTAAGGAGTGTGTGTGCGCCATGTGTGTGTGTCCAGCACCTGGCATTAATTACACACAGACGTCCTCACTGTCTCACGCGCTCAGCAGTGGTGTGTCTGCTCTTGCAAAGTTTGTTTATAGATTACAGCAGCTTGGTGTCACTGCTGCTCAGGCAGGGTTTTGAGGGCCACTACCACCCACTCATACACACACTCTGTCTACAGTGGTCTTTTGTCCATTGTATTGGTGTGTGTGTGTGTGTGCGTGCTGTTTTTTCTCTGCCCTGCGGTGTGACACTGATGTGCTCTGATTCTCTAATTGTGTGTGTGCATTTTGCTGCCTGTGGTCACTGACATGTTCCCTCATGCTGTTATTGTGTCAGCAGGAACATATTGTTACTCACTAACCACGATAGTCTTACAGATAATGTTATGCATTTTGCTGTTTTCACCTAGGAGAACTTCTCCATCCTTTTTTTTTTTGGCAAAAGAATAATATAAACTTAAATTCATACAAATGTTGTCACCCTGTCCTAATGGTGCATTTCTGTGTATGTCCTGCAGGGGCTGCTCCTCTCAAAGTGCAGATGCCTGCCCTCTCACCCACCATGGAAGAGGGCAACATCGTGAAATG